AGGGGCAATGGGCACAAACTGAAGCAGAGGAAGCTCCAGCTGAACCCGAGGAAGAACTTCTTCCCTCTGAGGGTGACGGAGCCCTGGCCCAGGCTGCCCAGGGAGGCTGTGGAGTCTCCTTCTCTGGAGATATTCCAGCCCCGCCTGGCCGCGGTGCTGTGCAGCCTGCTCTGGGTGACCCTGCTTCGGCAGGGGGGTGGGCTGGGGGGCCCACAGAGGGCGCCTACAGAGGGCTCTGCCAACCCCAACATTTTGTGATTCTGTGATTCCAGAAACTGCATGGACAAACGTTCCTCACCGACAGCAGCCACCTTCTCGCCTCTCTCGCCTCCTGGATTTGGAAGGAACCGCAATTAAAAAGCAAGTCGGGTTTTCGGATGCCTGTAGTACAAAACTGGACTGGGTACCAGAGCAGCCACACAACAGAAACCCTCCCAGCACAGGGCACCCGGCATCCCCTGGGGAAGCGACCGGCCCAGCAGCCATCAGCCCAGCATTTACACCTTCCAAAGCATTTAAGAGCAGCTTAAAGTTAACTGATCATTTCTAAAGCGTCTGCTTAGGAGATGAATGACAACTTTCTTTTGAACAACTGAAATCTTGAGGTGACAGCACGCTAGTAAGCCACCCAATCTATACAAGAGCGATAAAATTGTCCCTATTCCTTTCCCAGCAGAGCTTGATCATCCTCTGTTGCCTGTGGTCACCATGTTCTAAGCGCTGCTCTGAAAGCAGGCTGTCAGCTCTGCTCAGGACCAACCATTTTTCTGAGTCAGAACTGAACCCCTGAGTCCAAACCCGAGCCCAAGCGCAGCGTGGCCGCGTCCTCCGGCGGGTTACGCACTGACGGCGCTGCCAGCCCTCCCTGTTACACTGCAGGGGAAGACAGGGGTTTTTTCCAAGCACTATATAAAGCACTGGATTTTGTTTGGGTGCTATGACAAGGCAGCACACTAGGTTTTTTTTTTTCTCTCATTTAAAAGAATTAGAAAAAGGTTAACATACAAAATACAGAAATTACAGACACGGAATATGTTTAAATTTAACCTTGGGTTTGAAGCATTTCTGTACAGTACAAGCCAGGCATGAAGGATCCTTTCCTCCGTACGTTCTCCACTGTTCATTACAGCAACGCGTCTTCCCTCGAACCATCCTTCCCTGAAAGAACAGAGCTACCCTTCCCTTCCGTGTTTCTTTAACATGAAAACTTCAGGTGATGCAAAGGAGGGAGACGCTTTTCGAGGGCCCCAGCACTGGTGTCTCACCACTCAGCTGCACCCAGCCAGCCTTCAAGGTATTTGTGAAGCCCCAGAATCATTGACATGAGGCCCCTCTCTCCTCGACACTCGGACAGCTGAAGACACTGAAGCCGAGGAAGCTCCACTAACAGTTTGCAGTTCAATTTACAAGATACCCGGCACTGCACACTCTTTTAAATCAGCTTGGTGATGCTGGGCAAAGCAGCTCACTGAACAAATAAAGTAACACAAGAAGCCAGACACAATTAGAAGACGAGTTAAAATTTCTCCAAACACACCAATACTGATTTCTCCTGTAACAGAATGAACACGGCATCAAATATATATTTTTCCCTTAAACAGAACAACTTTATTTGACCAAATCCAATATTATTCCAAAACCATTCCTTAGCACTGGCTTATAGAATTATTTTTGCTATTTTCCCTATTCAAAATCCCTTACATATCGCCTAGGAAAAAAAAAATCTTATCTTTGAAATTCTAATTAAAAAGTTTTTTTGGTTGGAAAAACAGTGAGAAGGTGAGAATCCAATTTTTCTTAATCATCCTTTTGTATTTCTCCAACGAAACTAAAGGGAATAGTGAGAATTTACACCGATACTTCGCTCAGCTTTATAAAAATGAGGCTCGAGAAGCGCAACTTCCAAGTACCCTCAGCAATGGTGATGCTGGCAGACACGTGACGAGCTGGGGTGACGAACGAGGCAGAGTTTTACGACCGTGGTCTTCAGTCATGCTCCATTTCTACCCTGCACACTAGGCACTGCACTCTAAGCCTAGTAAAAGAATTTCAAGTCAAGTTGAAATAATTTTACTTTGAAGATTTTGGTTCAGGGGCCTAAAGGCTCAATCCCCCCGGCAGCAAGGGAGCCGGCGTGCACCGCATCAGACCGGACGGGCTGCACAGGATGAACGCGTCCTGGCCCTCGAGCGTGTCGGGGGTTTGTGCCCAAGAACAGGCCACAATCCCAGGGCTGTGTTTTGAAAGCATTATAATCTTTTACTTTAGAGAAAAGTTATGTTTCCAGCCAAAAGTCTCTTCCAAGTTAACAGCCATGTTTGTGGATGACTCTCAAGATCCAAATAACCTAGTGGGTGCAACAGAAAAAGAGTAGATGAGAACTGGGTACAAGTGGGAGCAGTCATGCGAACGCCCCTCTGACTCCATCAGCGCACACCCGGCCACGGGCTCTGCCCCCCCCCGTCAGCCCACAGAGCTCCTGCAGGGAAAAAAGTCTCTTCCAAGTTAACAGCCATGTTTGTGGATGACTCTCAAGATCCAAATAACCTAGTGGGTGCAACAGAAAAAGAGTAGATGAGAACTGGGTACAAGTGGGAGCAGTCATGCGAACGCCCCTCTGACTCCATCAGCGCACACCCGGCCACGGGCTCTGCCCCCCCCCGTCAGCCCACAGAGCTCCTGCAGGGAAACGAAAACCTGCTGATTCCAGGGACTCTTCTCAAGGCTGATGCCGTTCTATCACCTGGTGGGTTCCCCCCCCCCTAAAATGAAGAACATCCCAAAAGTTAAACTGAAACGCTGACCCCAAAGACGTTTTATCTGAGCAACCCACAGGAAGGAACGCCGTATCTGAGGCTAAACGACTCGCGCGCTGGCAGAGAAGGTTTTTGTGCACTACAGGTGTCCAGATCAGCAAAGCACTGAGGTCAACCAACGTCTCTTGGAAAATGGAAATAAACAAGTGAAATGAAAAGGGATTACAGAACAACAGAGTGGGAGAGAAGGAGATCAGAGAAGAAATACATGTGCAAGAAACTCCCCAACACACGACTTCAGACAAGCACGGCGAGATGCTGCACAGCGGTACTTACACAATCATGCAGAACATCATGAAGACATTCCACAAGGCAATGAAGATCCGAAAGTATCTGAGACTCAGCAGAAACTCTCTGATATTGTCACCTAAAAATCAAGAGGAGAAACCTGTGATGTAAAAAAACCCCTAGGACAAGTCCCATTTTCAACACTACCCGAAAAACATAAGCAACTGGCACAGGAAAAAAAACCCAAAATGTCAGAGCACAATGGACTGAAAGATGAAGCTTTTGGTGGATGATCCATATGATGTTCAGTGCCCCCCTGTAAGGGCATGCGGCAAAATAAACAAGAAAGGACAGAAAGGGTAGGACAGCCCTCTGCTGTAGTTCCCAGCCTTCCTATCACTTTTCAGTCATGCATCATTTTCAAAAGGTCAAAATCATTTTAAGACTTTTAAACGAGCAGAGACACAAAGGAGCAATGCGGGCGCAGACACTAAAATGGAAGGCGGGCTGGAAGCGGCAGTAACGCCCTGCTGTACAGCCAAAAATGCAGAAAATCATGCGCATTTTTGTATTCCTTCCCCAGTCACCAGCCTGGGATCCACAGTTCGGGCTGGTGTGCCCGTACGGAAACATCCCGGCAGGAAATTTTAGGTTGCCCGTCAGCAAACCGGCGATGCCGGCCCCCGAGTGATTCCCAGCCCAAGCTAACGGGCTTGGACTTGTTCTTGGCGCCTCAGAAAGGCTTTCACGCAGAATTCCCCCCGCACTGCGAGCGGTCCGTGGGGACGGGGGAGGCTGCGCCCGGACCCCGCTCCGCGGCCCCTCCGGTACCGGGCGTGGGTTCCCC